CTGAAAGACTAATTGGTGTCTCAAAATCCATTTTCATACTACAAGAATCATCTCTGGTCTAGTTACTATAGAACTGAAGGTGCATGATCACAGTTATTTCTGCCAGGTACAATACTACTTCATTCTGTCTTTCATTGATCTTTTACTGAAAAAAAATTTGCAATATAGGTAAATGTAGTCATCTATCTATTTTTAATTATTTTTAAAAATAAATTCTGACTCAACAGATAAGTGACCTGTAGAGTTATCCACTGTTGCCAGAATGTTTGATCTGATCAGATGGAGATTCCGTGCTGAAAGGTTTAATGAAATGTAATTAAATTAGAAGTTTTTCATTTCTGAACTTGCTTTTAGGTAGCTTATTTTTAGAATGCCCAAGTAGTCTGAAAGCTATTTCCCACAAAATTGTTGTGTGTTTTAACAATAAGGTAAGGCCTCTTATTACAAAATATAAACTATTTAATAAAAATGCGAACAGAACTCTGAAAGATTCTGGAAGCTTTCCAATTATTTCTATCTTCTCATAAATTTTGCCCGTTTATGCATTGATAAATTTTGTAGCAGGTTCTTTGAACTCTGTTCTGTCAATTCTTCAATTATAAATTCAAATATTTAATAGCCAAATGATCACAAAATACATGTTTTAAAGAACATTATTTTTTAAAAAAATATCTAGGTATTCCACTACAAGTTTCCTCACCTGACAGAAAAGCTGTTTTATATGCACTTGGAATACACGACCACCAACTGGCTTGACACCAACTCAACCTCCGTAATTCTTTCATCTTTCACAGTAGGGTCTGTGGTTTGGATGCTTAAGGAAACTGTTCTCCCACCTTTCCCCTTTCATATTTAATTCCTCTTTTTATAGCTTAAGTTCTGCAGGATTTGTTTAAAGTAAGGAATCTTCATTATTTACTGCTGCTTTAAAATTTAGATATGCTTTTCACTTGGTACCTAGTGCTAAAAACATACAATCAAGGAGGAAGCAAAGGGATGGAAGAGTTTTACGAGCCAATAATGGGTCTGGAGGCAGGCAGAAAACATCCTTACTAAGTGTTTTGCACTAATATTAGTGTAGTTTTCAATGTGACATTCTTGGCATGAAAAAACTACTTAGTAAGTAAAACTTGTACAATTATTCTGCTGATGCTTCTAGTTTAGAGAAGATTTTTCATGCTTATAAAAACAACCTTTACAGATGTTTAAATGGGAAGAAATAACTACAATGTCTTCTCTTCATAATACTTTTTTAATTTTTTTTTTAATAGTTCTTTGTACTGATATTTTATTCATGATTTTCTCCTGTATAATGCATGTTGAGTACTCCTTCTGGAACTTGTGATTTCAATAGAATAAACCAGAGTACTGCTGGATAGCTGAATGTATGATAGCATAGTTTGTCTTCTCTCCATTACCCTTTAAAGACTAATAGCTTGTTTTCTGTGTGGGCTTCTAATTAATGTGCTGTTCTGCATCTCCTCTTGTTTTCATTCTGTTTCTCTCATAAGGGAACATTGTTTTCCTGGATTTCATAATCAGTGACCATACATTGCCAACAGCACCAACTTTAATTTCTCTCTAGGAGATTTCTAAGTTTTTATTCTGCTTAGGTTTTTTTCCAGACCTTATTCTTGATTGATAACTACAGAGGAATTCATCCTGGGAGGGGGAGCGCTCTGGACTTTGGGAATGCCATATAGACTCAGAGGCCTAACATCATTCAGTGCAGTCATTGAGTCAGGTGTTTTCAATATGAGTTATGTCTGCATATAATTCTCATGAAATTATATCAATAACCACATTCTTTAAGTCCCAATTACAGTGAGAAGTATGGAAGCTGAAGTGATGGCTAATCACTATTAAAAGTGAAATTACATTAAATTGCTCAAAGTAGAAAGGGAAAGAAATAAAGAATTTTAAAATGGAATTGTATTTTTTAGGTCTTTCCAATATTATTATAAAATGTACTGCATAAATTGCTCAAAGTTGTAGCAAAACTAATCATCATTACTGATGGATGCTAATCTCTGTTCGTTTGGCTGCACCTTGAGGTTATGCTAGCTCATATTATCCATTTTACTTTATAAGCAAAGACCATATGGAGAAAAAAAAACCAACATACAAGACAACTTTGTCTTTCTCCTTCATACTTTACCAAATGGTACCAAAGGGTTTGAAATCATGTACCTTTGCAGGCCATAGAGACCCACCTAATTCGCAAATCAAGTGGGGGGCTGACATACATTGCTGAGTGGAAGGGAGGACTGCTTGAACACAAGATGGGACATCTCACTTGTTTTGCTGGAGGCATGTTTGCTCTTGGAGCCGACGGAGCACCTAATGACAAGACGGGCCATCACATCGAGCTTGGTGCTGAAATAGCGAGGACTTGCCATGAATCTTATGATCGTACAAGTAAGTACTATATTGGAGAGTTTTGACTTTCTGAAGGCAGCCATTGGTAATTTTGCGTAATGCCGAATGAAAGTTAGATGATGGTGAGAACTCTTCATCCTTTCTAAGCAAATGCTGCTTTGCTCTAAGAGCAACTTCAAGAATGGCTGCTCTGTTTTAGAAATAATTTCTCTGCACCTGAATCGTATCTACTCGCTCTAGTAATTAACATGACAGCTTTTTTTTTTTCAGTTTGCCAATTTCTGTATAGCCGAAAACAAATAAGAGAGGGAACTTGCTCATTTATGCATCAGTATAGCTATTAATCATGTTTTATGCGCAACAAATTATTTTATTCTCTGTTTTGTTGGTACCATGCTGCAAACAATAGAATTGCACAAAGAAAATGAATTTCTGTGCAGGAAATGTCTTTAGATTCTTTTATTTTCTTATAAAAATAACCCTGGCAGCATTTCAGGTCCCAGAGTGTATTCCAGTTTGATACAGAAAAGTAAATATCCTCATCTCTTAAGCAAAATTTCACATGTTGCTAGTTATATGATGTCTTCCAGAATGCAAATGTTAGCATCACTGTTCAGACTGGAACTGCTGTTTAAGACATTGGTGAAGAACAGCTTTCTCCTACTCTTAATTATTTACAAAGTATCAGAAACAGGAGGTGCTGCAGTATTTTTCAGAAATCATATACCTTTTGGGTAACCTGACTTTGTGCTACATGAAAGGATAGTTGATTTGGTAGGTTACATAATTTGAAACCTTTTTTTAATGCCTTTATTTTAGCATATGTTTTTTTATATTGACTAGCCATGAAACTGGGACCAGAAGCCTTCAGATTTGATGGTGGTGTTGAGGCCATTGCTACAAGACAAAATGAAAAATACTACATCCTACGACCAGAAGTCATAGAGACCTACATGTACATGTGGCGGCTCACTCATGACCCAAAGTATAGGCAGTGGGGATGGGAAGCTGTAGAGGTAATGTTCTATTGGACTTTTTTCTTTTTAAATCCTAATATCTTGTTAAGTGAGCTATTAAATGATATCTGAATATTGTTTAGCAGTTGGAGAGTAAATATTTAAGTCAGTAATATCAACTCAAATTTCCAGAGATTCATTTAGTAAATAGATGAACTAAGATCATTCTGACAAGCCAAATGCTGCTGGTATTATATTTTCAAAAAATACCTTGTGTTTTCTCCTTCTTAAATACTTCTCAGATCAGGGTCATATTGTAATTGTACAAAAGTGATTTTAATTAAGGTGATGGAGGCCACGATGAAGTACTAGATAGTATCAAACATTTAAAAAATGGGTCACTTTCAAAAAGCATAGGTCATCTGGACTGATCTCCATTAGTAGTAACGCTCTCTTCTGGATTTAAATTTCTGTGTCCCACTACCCTTTGAGCTCCAAGCAGTCATTCCAACCTAGCTACCTGTGTTTGTCTAGCACAAGCTTTCCAAGAGGGCAGCTAGTCTATACTGCAAAAATTGTCTTGCCAAATCCATTGTTCCCCTTATTTCAGTGGTTAATCACTCTTACTGTTAGAGATGAGAGCCTTTGGATTTACCGTGTTTCATCCTCCAGGTGTGGGTCCTTATTACACTTGTAGACTTCAGTTATTTTCTCCTCACGTTGATGTTGCCCTTGCTAAATTATCTGCCTTTCACTCTTCCTTTGGAATTTCTAAGCAGACTGAGATCTTACTGGAGATACACGAAGCTGAAGAACATTATTTTTGTGCTCTGTATACTTCAGAAAAATGGAAAAGAAAAAAAATAATCAAACAAAACTCTGTGCAGTATTTTGTTCACAGCAACCTCTCCTTTGCAGAGTTATTGCTTTCCACGATTTCAAAAACGTCCTGTTTGTCAGTTTGCCCAACACCTCTTGTTTCTAGGAGTGTATGATTATAACTTTCTTGGATGGGCCTACACCACTAGTTGCAGAAGTTTGCTCTATACTAACGGAAGGACATGTAGACACGTGTCATGTAATTTCTCATTCCCGAGGGACCCTAGCAGAGAGCTGTTTCTGGGTTATGACTCCATATACCTGTCTGCGACATGGTACCAAGTTACCTGGCTCCCTCAACAGCAACCAAGATCCGTAACCGTATTCAGTATTCAGTGTGTGAGATATTGCACTTATCTCAAATGTTGTGCAAATGTTGTTGAGTGTTGTGAAAAAAGTGTTTCAAGTTTGGTAATTAGATATTCTTGAAGAATGAAATTTATGGTAAAATCTGCTTTCCATAAAAGAATAGCTGCCAGCAGTAACTATACTTTACTCTCTAACTCCTCCTTGTTTGAATATTCACAGCAATTCCATATCTGCAGTCAACACTACATTCAGCTAGGTAGACTGCAGTTAATTAGGAGATTTTATTTCCCTCCCTCAGGTGTTGGATCTCTCGGCCCTGAAGCAATATGCTTCTGAGTTAATGATTCCAAAGCAATTTTTAAAAAAAAAACAAAGCCTCTAATTTAGAGTGCTTTTCCCTTACTTTCTTCTTTGCTAACACCACTCATAGGCACAGATTTTACTACAGGAATCTTCCCAGGCAGATTTTAATTGCCATATTTACAATGGCTGTTTATGGAAGTCATCCCACCAGGCTTCAGCAATGCCAAGTGTTCCTCCTCCAAGAGATGGTTTTCCTGACTCATTGTTGCTGCCCACACTGATAACATTGTTATAAACAATTGAAATTGTTTTCTTTATTATTCTTCTTACCCTGTTGGTTCAGTTTGTGTTTATTTCAAGTTTGTACATTCATTTACCTTCTTAGTGCTCCCCATGTGTTCCTTGTTTAACATGCTTGTGGTTACTTTGCTCTGGCTCTAACGTAGTGGGTTAGAGCCCATGTGCGGAAGATGCAGCTGATCCCATTCTGTACAGACCCATCTTCCACTGTCCTGATGTGCAGTTGTGTGTTTTACAAAAACAAATCTTACAGCTTCACACAAGTTATACAGTCAGTTGAAGGTTTCAAATATTTTTTTCTTTTTTTCACTTCTTCCTTGATGTTTATAGCCCATACAGATCCACCTGATACTGTATTTTTTTGTTCCACATGTGTCATGATAGCTTACCATAACTATTTCATAAATTCTGCTCCATCTTGCACCAGAGAGCACATCACCCTTTTGTTCTTGGGAAAGTCTCTGACCACTGACTATGCAACACCTATTGCACAAAGGGGAAGCTGAGATTGAAACAAGAAAAAAAGAGAGAGCGATCAGACCAGTTGTTGTTGCCCAAAAAAGTTGTTTTTCAGGTGTTTCATGTCCATTTTCAACTCGTGATACTGGCAACAAGAACTCGTTAGGTTTGTTTCCCAGCGCCCTTGTTGTAGAAAAAGAGGCTGCTCTATAGGTCATGATTTCTAAACTTTCCAACAAGCCCATTAATTCTTTCTCTAACTTTTATAGACTAAAAACATGCTCTAGCCTCTCCATTTTTTCTTTGGAAACTTGCTTTGCTGCTTTAATTTGAGTCCAAGATCATTCTGTATGTACTTCAGCAGCTGGAGAAAATGCAGTTATGACCAACAGCAATATCCACTGTTACTGAGTCAGAAAGGTTTTATCTGCTTAGCTCTTGCAAGTCTCCCTTTCTGCATTATAAATGTGGCACATATTTTGAATTCACAGCACTTCCTTTGTTTTTTCCCTTTATGATACTTTGAGACTGTCAGCCAATTTTCACTCTGCTTGATGTTTTCCATTACTTTAGCATAACTGATCTTAGCCACCCTCATTTTCTGAGAACTACTAATTTAAAATGTGTTTGATTGTTTCTTCCCACCCACCACTACCCCACTGTCAATGTGAACATCACTGTACTCTGAAACTGCAGGTACGGGCACAAAAGGCCAGCACTGCCAGCAAAAGGAGGGTGACAACCAAGAGCCCTTTTGTCATGCTAAAGCCAACGTGAATGTCCTGTTCCTTTAGTTAAGTGGAAAGTAGCTTTGAGGGGTGAGATGCTTCACTTTTGCATCAGGTGGATACCACCAGATAGCTAACATGGTGCAAGTTAACCTCTTAGTTTCCATCATAGCAGTGTGTTCAGGTACCTATACAGTATCTCCCTAGAATGAATTCATAAAGAAGGCTCTAACTACATGTTAGAGCACATAAACCCCAAATGCAATTTGCTTTTATTTTACCTCACCCTGTTTAGAATGCAGATGTTTCCTTGAATTAATAGTCTTATCCTTCAAGTTCTCCTTCTGCTGTGCCTTGGAAAACATAATCTTGTGTTTGACATTGAAAATCCAGACACAGATTCAGCATTTTGAATTCATTGCAGGTTGAAGCAGACAAGAGAGAAGGAGTACCAGCCAGGGGAAATTACTTGTTTAAACTTAAGTATATTTGTCACTTAGTAAAAGTGTCCAGGAAAATTAAAGAACCTAAAGACACATAAGAAAAGACAAATAGGCCTGTTATATTTTAAAGGATCTCTCCTGGAGAAAAATCCCTTTTAAATATACAATAGGCAGCTTACTCTCCAGTGAAAACTATGGAGAGCCTGACATGCAAGCTAAATATATGCAGATAGCTACAGGGACTCCAGCAAAAACAAGGACGTTTAGGATATCTACTCGCAGCAAAACACAGCTCTTGAACAGCCTTTAGAGCAGGTGGAGGTGATGAATACCTCAGTAATTATTAGTGACTTTTAGTCCCACCTCTCATCAGAAAATACTTATTCTGCCTGTTTGCTTGGTTTAGACATATCTTCTGCCTTTTCATAGCTTTTTGCTGTATGTGGTTTGAAATGCAGCATCTTTCCATAAATGAAATCTACACATCCTGTAATCACGTCAGTGATATTTGTAATAACTTCAGAAATGGAGGAACTAGTTGTCTTCCATCTCTCCATCGAGGGTTTGATAAAGCTCCAGGTAGTTCTGCCTGGAAGTTGTATCTCCACAGCAAGCACAGTGTTTCAGAGTCCTAAGTAAATGTAGTAATCCGTCATGCTTACCGTCATTTTCATTGTGAGAAGTTATTAAGGGCTAAAGAGCATTTTCTGGATTTGTTTTTGAATAATGAGTTTTTAAAAATGTAATCATCTTAGATTCTCTTCACTCCTTTATTATACTGCATGATACCGGAGAGTTATTATAAAACAGAATAAGAAAAATGAAGAGGCTAAGAATACTTTCGACCTTGTTAAATAGGTCAATTATAAAGAAAAAAAGATGAATTAATATTTTTAAACAAAGCAGTGATAAGAGAACTAATATTCAAATATGGGATAGCAGTCTATTTAAAGAAGTTATGGCTCATATATAGGCATATAGGTACCACCTTTCTAATGCAAACACTTGTCTAAAATAATGAAAAGCAGCAAAGTTTAATAAATAGTATAACAGTATATACCTTCTACGCTTCCAGCACCTGGTACCTGGGTTTTGCTCTTCTGTATACATCCTTCATCTGATCTTTTTTCTCTGTCGAAATTAGCTGATCATACAGAACATTCCTGTGGGCAGAAAAAAATTATATTTTTAGGTGATCCATGTCCTCCTTTTTATTGTAAAATAGGAATCAATCATCTGTTTTACACCATTTTGGAAACTAGTTAGAGAAAAACACATTCTTACATCTAAAATATGTTGCATTAAGTCCAGCCACATACTAGCTTTCTGTCTACTCCTGTGTAACAGACAAAGCTTTTTCAGAAAGGTATCACAGAAAAATAGTGCCTACTGCAGAAAAGAAATTCAGTCACAGCCCAGTATCGGAGGTTTCCCATTGAAAAAGGAAATAATTGCAAAAAGAAACCAAACACCTTACATAGAAAATGGAGAGTTGCCTTTCCTTTTTCAAAGCGGCTTACAGGAGGTGAGGAAAAGACTGGTCTTTATCAAAGTATTCAATTCTATCACAATCATTTTTGCACACTGAACTATGACCAAGACAGGTATACGTGGCACTATCTCTGAAGGCAAGCCTGTGAGAGAGAGGCCATTGTTATTCCTATTAAAAAGGGGAAAAAGAAAATAAGTGAAAATCCATATATTTTTACATGCATGTATCTTCACAGCTATATATCTTCGCTTCTGAAAACTGTTTTATGTACACTTTTATTAATTTATCATTTTGCTTCTCTTCCTAAATGTAACATTAGACATGTATGCTTATTTCTTTGTAAAAAGAGTTTTCTATCTGCAGCATTATCTAGTTTTCATTTCTTTATCAAAACATTTGTGAGTTTTTTTTTTTTTTTTTGCTAGTTTTATTGTCAAATAAAGAAAAACTGATTATTCATTTTGTTAATCCCACTGGTGGGTTTGGGGTTTTTTTCCCCCCTCTGCAGGCACTGGAAAAACATTGCAGAGTAGATGGTGGCTATTCTGGCATTAGAGATGTTTATAACAATCAGGAAAGCCATGATGATGTGCAGCAAAGTTTCTTTCTCTCAGAGACACTCAAGTAAGTTAAGAAAGTTGACTTTCATTAATATGAATACATACATTAATATGTATCATCTTTAGAGATAAGTATTTATCATTAGTACCCTTGAAATTCATGTAACAAAATCTGACTGAAATAATAGAGCTTTTCTTAGGTGATAGGAAGCCAAATTGCCTTTTTGGCCCCCCCCCCCCCCC